TAGAAAGTACGGGAGGGTAGACATTAGAATTACAAAGGACACTGGTGACAAAGGGAAGGTGGCCTGACAGCTGTCAGCAGTCTCTCACAGCCTGATTGTGTTATTCCCTGAGGGTCATAAATCATCCCACAGAACACCCACATAAAACAAAATCACTCTGTTACAAGACACGAGATTATTCCAAATCACGTCTACACACAGACAAAAAAAAGTCTCTCCGGGAACCACAAAAATGAAACATGCCCTTCTCAAGCTTGATGCAAACATGTGCTACTCCTTTATAAAACACAGCTTTGCTTTGTTCTGTTGTACTCATCTCCTAGATAAAAATTAAGGCACACAATCATAGAATCGCCCACCTTCTTGATAGTACCCTATTCAAAATAGCCTTCCAGCCTTTAAGCCTTCCTCTAAAATCCTAAAAACACAAACAAAATCTCCTCACAACCTGAGAAGTCCTCTAGTACACCATCGTGTGCAATTTTCTTGCAACAAGAAAAAGGAAACTACAAACTAAAATAAAGGGTAATGAGCTTGTTTGATGCTAAGTGTATACCTAATGGTGTTTGCCTGAAGGCCACTGACATTCCCACTGGCATTCCCATTCACTGGCTATGTCTTGTTTCCAGCCTTCCTGTGGGAAAGAGAATGAGGTTCAAAATCTTATTTTATAGATGTGAAAACTAAGGTTTGCCCAAAATATGTAGTTTGTCTACACTTACAGTCATGAGTCAAAACCAAGCTTGTGGTTCCAAATCTCAAACTGTGCTCTCAGATGGAGCTGCCCAAGGACGCTGCTTCCCGTGGTAAGAAGACTACTGTGCAGTCATCCTGGAGAGAATGAAGGCCCCATCTCAAACAGTCACCACGAGCCATGCGCCGTGCACTGCCAGTGGGCCAGATGAGGACATGTCACTAATAGCCAAGGCAGTAGTATCCTCTTTTACCAAAGAGGAAACACTGAAGGCAGTGATCTCGGCCAAGGTCACACAGTCAGAAGATGGCAGAGCTGGGACTGTACCCCAGGGTTAGGAAAGGGGATGTAAGGGAGCCAGCAGTCCTGCAAGTCAGAGAGGCGGTTGTTTCTGCAGCCTTTTGGAGTGAAGTAGATTTCTGGTGGGACTTCCAGAGTAGGAGTACTGTTGGGGGGAGGGGCACTTATCTGTGGGATGGAGTGCAGACTGAGTAACCAGGGGCTGGTGCCTGATGGAGACTGGAGAGCTAAGTGCCCATGGCTTGGGGGCACCCAAACCTGTGGTTCCACTGTTGAACTGACCTCTCACAAAAATGCCCATCTGCTGCCAGGCCTGTTCCAGTAAACATTGGGGTCTGGAGGGTAATTTCCTGACCTCTGAACTAAGTACACAGTAAAAGCAAGCAGTGGATCAAAGCCAGCATGTCCAGCATGACCTGGAATCAATAACCCCATTTCATCTCCTACTGCTGAAGCAGAAGCAGGGAAAGTTCTGGATGCTACAGAGTAGGGAAGAGAGATGGGCAAGCTGCCTGTTGCATCTTTTTAGGCCCAGAACCTCCTGATAGACATCATTTGCTTTAGACAGGTAGCTCTGTACCATCTTGGACATTTTTCTGTGCACAAAGGCTAGGTGAGCAAGAAGTAAGGAAATCAAGTCCTCCACAAACCAAGAGACTATAGGTGGAAGGGGCCCAGAAAGGCATCCCATCCACATTTCTTCTGATGTTCAGAGGCTTCTCTCTCACCTTAGGATCCTGCAGCTTTGGTGTGAGACTCTCATGATGATGTCACTCAATACCCCTAGCCAACAAGGCATTTTTCTGACAACTATGTTAGAAATATAGTTCAGAATTCGATCATTGCGCCTTTTTTTTTTTTTTAAGAAGTTTCTGCCTTAGGGTGCAGGTGCTCACTGGAGAGAAAGACAGAGATAGAGAGAGGAAAAGTGAAAAATCACCCACCAGGGGAATGATTATGCCACAATTCCTTGTCCTCCATCCTCCTCCCAGGATCTTGAGCACACATGCATGCACACATGTACCCAGTGTGATTTTCAAACCACCAGGTCTGGGACTTAAACTGCAGTTGGTCAAATGGGAGTCCAGCAATGAAATGGCTATGCCATCTACTGGCCCCAGAATTGAATGTGTTTTATGATGGTACAAGATTACTTCAAAATATGAGTATGAGTGTATTTGGGTGCAAAAATATTAAAATTCATGCATAGTTTTTTTATAATATGAATCTTTCCATATACCTTTGAAGACCCCTCACTGTCCCAGCCCTTTCAGATTAGCCTGACTGACCTCTAGAACATGTGCAAGCCACTTACCCATCAGATACCCATTTTCCTGCCTTAACCCCCCATGCACACACCTATTGCTGTTCTTTCATCAGTTTCCTAGTTTAGGAATGACTCTTAGATATTCAAGTCAGAAACTGGTGTGCCCATCAAGACATCTCCTACTGACTAAACACTTCTCATCCAGTCAGTTGCCAAGCTCAATCATTTATACCTCCTAGATGTTTCTCAAATGTTTCCAATTTCCTGAGCCAGCTGCCATTACCTAGTCCCAGCCACCACCTCATACCCCTTAGACGACACTGTTTTCTTCTATTCCTTCTACATCTACTTTTCTCCAGTCCTGCATCCCTCCCATCCTTCTTGATGTTGTAATAAGAACAAGCCTTACAAAATTCAAATCTAAGCATCTATTCTCTATTGGAATTCCTCTAGTGATCCTTGGGAGGAAACCCAAAGTCCTGAAGATAGTTTAGAGTTCTATGATCAGTAGGACCAGACCTCGTCTCTCATTACATGGTCTTATACTAGAAGCCCAGCAGACTGAAGAGTATCATTGGGAACCTGGCCTACTCTTTCTTACTTTCAAACCATCGCCCAGGCCACTGACATCATGAAACTTGAACAAAATTCTAAAGAGAGTACAGATAGTCTTTAGAACACCTCCAACTTCCTTGACACCCCTTTTGGAAACTTTTGAAATAATTTTAGATTCACACAGATGTTGAAAAAATAGAAAGTTCCTATATGTGTTTCTGCTATCGCTAACCAATGATATGACCTAAAACACTATAGTATAAGTATCAAACCAGGAAACTGGCTATGAAACAATATAATAAAATAGAAGGTATTTGGATTTAACTGCTATTTACATAGGTTCTTTTTTTTTTCAGTACCTAGTTTTAGGAAACTTTATTGCAATTTTAGGTTTGTGTCACTACATAATCAAGATATGAAACTGTTTCATTTCTAGCAAAACTTCAAAGCACCACACACCTATAAAGTCCTGACAACCATTAATCTGTTCTCCATGACTAATTTTGTCACTTCAAGGATGTTAAATAAAAGGAGTCATAGTTTATGAACTTTTGAGATTAGATTCCTTCTATTCAGCATAATGTCCTTCAGATTCACCTAAGTTATTGCCTGAATCAACAGTCTGTCCACTTTTTTCCCCTACGAGTTTCAAAAGTATGAATATGCCACATTTTACTTCTTCATTCATTTGTTGAAGGAACATTGGATTCTTTTTGTGGATGCTTTTTTTTTTTACTATTTAAAAGAAAGCTCTGAAAATATGGAATGTACAAGAAGTCTTCAAAAAGTCCATGGGAAATGTGTATTAATGAAAAGCTTTGCATGGATTTCAAAATTATTTTGCACCAAAAATAACTTGCACCAGTAACAACTTTAATTCCACTTTTCCATGAAATTTTGGAAGTCCTGTTCTCCATCCAGTGGGATACTGTTCAGTATCAAAAAGGGACTTACTCATGATACATGCTGCAACATGGATGAACTTTAAAGACACTATAGTAAGTGAAATAAGGCAAACAGGAAAAGACATTGAATGCATAATTTCATTCCTAAGAAGTACCTGGAATTGCAAAATCCGTAGACAGAAAGCGAAACGGTAGTTACGAGTGGCTGGGGAGGGGGTGGATAGGGAGTTACTGTTTAATGGGTTTAGAGTTTCAGTTGGGAATGATGAAACTTCTGGGGGTGGATAGTGGCAATGACTGTACTACAGTGCGAATATACCTTATGCCACTGAGTTGTATGCTAAAGAATGGCAAAACCGATACACTTTATCTTATGTATATTTTATCACAGTAAACAACCGGAAGAGAACAGTAACTGGCTATCATGTCATGTAATATAAATAGTATCACAGAAGACAAGGTAAGATAAGAGGATAAAGAGTGGCGAGGTGGTGGCACTATTTGAGACAAAGTGATCAAGACCACAATCTGACACAGGAATATTTGCCTAGAAGAGAAAAAGCAGCCATACTGTACCAGAGGGCATGTCTGAGTAGGGAGAGGTCAAGTGGAGAACCTGAAGCAAGAGTGGTCTTTGGGCATTAATAGCAATGAGGGGGGGTGCCTGTGACATCTTCACAGATGAGCGTGAATGCACACACATGTTTCTGTGTATAGTTAGTGTGCACAAGCATGTGCGTGCTTTTATGGGATCTATATTTTTTTCTGTTGGAAACAAGGATCTCGACATGACTAACCAGGTAAAACAACGTGTGATAGCTCATGACAAGAATGGCCAAAACAGATGGCAACTGAAGGAGGAATTGTGCCATCTTGAAGCAGATAGACACTTAGCATTATACTGGACAGCCCCAGGGAATGCTCCTAAAAAAGAGCTCAGTGCAATCCAAATGAGAGTTGGGGGCCAGCAGGTACCATGGTAGCTATGGTGCTAGACTCTCATGGCCAATAGCAATTCCAGTCCTGGATCTGGCAACTTGACAATCAAGCGAGATGCAAATGCATGCATGCCCAAAATCCTGAGAGGAGAAGGGATTGTGGCTTGGCCATCCCCGCCCCCCCCCCCAGGGGGGTGATTTTTCACTTCTCCTCTGCCTCTCTTGGTGTCTCTCTCTCCAGTGAAGACACACACCCTATGGCAAAAACTTATTTTAAAAATAAAAAAAAAAAAGCAAAGAGGAGTTTGTTCATTAATCTGGGACTGAGGGCCAAGCCCAGACTATTCCTGTTGAAAAGGCTGGTTGGGCCCTCCCTTGCTGTTTCCAGCCTCCTCTCTCACTCTGAAGCATCTGCCAGAGTCTCAGACTAGAAGGCCACCATCATTGTCACTGAATACCTGCCCTACAGAAGCCCCAGTAAGTCATTTTTGCTGAATTTATCTGGGTTCTTGGGTCAAAAGTTTGGAACTTAGTTTGATCCTAAGGGTCTGTAGAAGAGACTTTAGGGGTGAGAAAAATAGGGCAGCAGGCAGAAATCATGTGTGCGCGTGGGCGGAGGCGGGCAGTGTCTCTTTCTCTGCTTGTGCTGGGACCCCTGCAACTTTACTCATTTATCTGACCACGTGCAAAGGAGAAAGCCATGGAACATTTTATCCATGGGCCTGGCTGCTGAGGTTTCCTAGGGAGAATCAGTTGGAAGAAAGCTTTGAAGGACAGAAGAAATGTTTACTCATGATACATGCTGCAACATGGATGAACTTTAAAGACACTATAGTAAGTGAAATAAGGCAAACAGGAAAAGACATTGAATGCATAATTTCATTCCTAAGAAGTACCTGGAATTGCAAAATCCGTAGACAGAAAGCGAAACGGTAGTTACGAGTGGCTGGGGAGGGGGTGGATAGGGAGTTACTGTTTAATGGGTTTAGAGTTTCAGTTGGGAATGATGAAACTTCTGGGGGTGGATAGTGGCAATGACTGTACTACAGTGCGAATATACCTTATGCCACTGAGTTGTATGCTAAAGAATGGCAAAACCGATACACTTTATCTTATGTATATTTTATCACAGTAAACAACCGGAAGAGAACAGTAACTGGCTATCATGTCATGTAATATAAATAGTATCACAGAAGACAAGGTAAGATAAGAGGATAAAGAGTGGCGAGGTGGTGGCACTATTTGAGACAAAGTGATCAAGACCACAATCTGACACAGGAATATTTGCCTAGAAGAGAAAAAGCAGCCATACTGTACCAGAGGGCATGTCTGAGTAGGGAGAGGTCAAGTGGAGAACCTGAAGCAAGAGTGGTCTTTGGGCATTAATAGCAATGAGGGGGGGTGCCTGTGACATCTTCACAGATGAGCGTGAATGCACACACATGTTTCTGTGTATAGTTAGTGTGCACAAGCATGTGCGTGCTTTTATGGGATCTATATTTTTTTCTGTTGGAAACAAGGATCTCGACATGACTAACCAGGTAAAACAACGTGTGATAGCTCATGACAAGAATGGCCAAAACAGATGGCAACTGAAGGAGGAATTGTGCCATCTTGAAGCAGATAGACACTTAGCATTATACTGGACAGCCCCAGGGAATGCTCCTAAAAAAGAGCTCAGTGCAATCCAAATGAGAGTTGGGGGCCAGCAGGTACCATGGTAGCTATGGTGCTAGACTCTCATGGCCAATAGCAATTCCAGTCCTGGATCTGGCAACTTGACAATCAAGCGAGATGCAAATGCATGCATGCCCAAAATCCTGAGAGGCGAAGGGATTGTGGCTAAAAAAAAAAAAAAAAAAAAAGCAAAGAGGAGTTTGTTCATTAATCTGGGACTGAGGGCCAAGCCCAGACTATTCCTGTTGAAAAGGCTGGTTGGGCCCTCCCTTGCTGTTTCCAGCCTCCTCTCTCACTCTGAAGCATCTGCCAGAGTCTCAGACTAGAAGGCCACCATCATTGTCACTGAATACCTGCCCTACAGAAGCCCCAGTAAGTCATTTTTGCTGAATTTATCTGGGTTCTTGGGTCAAAAGTTTGGAACTTAGTTTGATCCTAAGGGTCTGTAGAAGAGACTTTAGGGGTGAGAAAAATAGGGCAGCAGGCAGAAATCATGTGTGCGCGTGGGCGGAGGCGGGCAGTGTCTCTTTCTCTGCTTGTGCTGGGACCCCTGCAACTTTACTCATTTATCTGACCACGTGCAAAGGAGAAAGCCATGGAACATTTTATCCATGGGCCTGGCTGCTGAGGTTTCCTAGGGAGAATCAGTTGGAAGAAAGCTTTGAAGGACAGAAGAAATGTTACGACTAACAAGTGGCAGGGGGATTTGAGACTGACTCTCTAATTGCCAATAGTCTTGACTCAGGACACAGAGAATTCCTGCCAAGAGGTTGAGAGGGATCTAGCACTCTGCCAGGGCCAGGATAGGAAAAAGATTTCCAGAATAAGTGCTCTCTTCTCTCCCCCAAACCTCACTAAACCTCCTGCTGTGAGAAATGAAACACTGAGAAGAAGCAAATTCAGGTTAATTCTGAGCTGGCTTAGTGACTGGTAAATGGCTTGGTCTAAAGTCGGGACCTGAATTCTTTTGAGAGCTCTGGCCTGCAGCTTAGTGCCTGCCACTGAAAGTGATAACTGCCCTGGAGAAGAGCCGTCTGCCCAGAAAGGAAGACAGGATTCAGGTGGCAGGTGGGCTCAAAGGGGAGGTGGGAGCCGAGAGGGAGTGCCTACGGACAGCTGGGACTCTGTCCGTCCCCACTCCCTAAGCCAGCAGACATGACAGAGCTGGCACGTGTAGCCCGTTTGGTCTCCCTGTGACAGGAAACACTCACACCCTTCCAGCAGCAGCTCAGGTTCCTGAGCGCTGGTGACTCCTGCTGGGCCCTGCTGCTGGGCCCTGCTGCATGCTGTTGAATCTGCCTCTGTTAAAATACTGATCATAGGGGCTGGTAGGTATCATGGTGTTTAAGGGCACTGGATCCCCCACCTGGCTGACCTCAGTTTGAGTCCCGGATCTGGCAGGCAAGCAAGCAAATTAATTAATTAATTAATTCTTTCTTAAAAAAAAAATTACTCATCATACAATGTCATGAAGAATATTTACTTTTCTAAAACTGCAGTCTGGAGACCAGAAATGGGTAATCCATTTCTATACCACCTGTACCCAGGTATAGGACAAATGTATTTCTATCAAATATTAATTAATGAATATTAATTAAATATGTACTTACTAATTGAACAAGATGAGACTATCTTCTTTGATTTTTTTCCACACCGAGATGAGAACCACGTCCCTGTTTCCATCACTCCCTCTCCTTCTCCTGAGTGTGGTGACTACGTCTTACTCAGAAACTGAGAACGATGAGAGCGTCCGCAATACCTGCCCTGTGATTGCCTGCAGTGCTCCAGGCATGAATGGCTTCCCTGGCAAAGATGGCCGGGATGGTGCCAAAGGAGAAAAGGGAGAACCAGGTACAGGTTGGGTCGTTCTGTCTCTGCCACCATCTGTCTCTCTACCATCCCAGAAAACTGCCTGGAGGTATGAGGAGAGTAATAGCCTGTTGTCTTATTTGTATTTTTCTTAACTACATCTTATAACTCAAAACAGAGATACAGCTCCCATCACTATATAAGCCAAAACAGACCTCAGTTCCCATTCTCTGGCACTGCAGCCGTTTGTGACAAGTAGTTGTCTTGTATGCCCAGGAAAATACCTCTCAGGGCAGGCTATCCCATGGGTCACAGAAGTATTTTTTTTTCCTTCTCTTGGAAGTAGCAGCTCAGAAAATCCAGCCATGGTGTGCAGTCAGAGGTATGATGACTGCAGTGCTGGAAGCCGTACAACTGACTGGAGCCAGATACCTGGCCTGGTCAGGTGGAAACACACAGGTTATGCCTGGGCACTCACGATCCTGAAAATTTGGAAGCCTGCACAAAGGGGAATTGTAGCATGATGTGATATATGTCAAAGGTGACCCTCCCTTTATCACTCTCCTTTTTTTGCATGTGCTTAAAGTATCATATTTTTTTTTTAAATAAAGAAAAATAAAGTCTGGTTCTAGGTCAACATCTCCTTTCTTCTAGGCATCAAACTCTTGGAAAAAGAACAAGAGCACAGATACTAAGTCATGTTTCCTTTTTTTCTTCAATAGGCCAAGGGCTCAGAGGCTTGCAAGGCCCTCCTGGAAAGGTGGGGCCCCCAGGACCCCCTGGGGTACCAGGAGCAGTGGGTCAAAAAGGAGACCGTGGAGGTAGTTCAGGTGAGAAGCTCAGCCCAGAAAGGTCTGAGCTGAAGAATAATAGGGTCCTAGACCTTGAGTATCAGGTGAGAAGTATTCATGCGTCATGAGATGCCCAACTTTGCCTTCTAGCCAGAGTTCTCAGCTCTCTCTCAGCTACTCAGAACCTTGAGAACACCTATCAGTGCTAGAGTAAAGATTTAGAAAACGTTCAGCACCACTCCCTTCCCAGGCACCCCCTGGAGGAGCTGGGCCCTTTATATGAAATAACCAATGTGAAGCTTTGGTGCCAGAGGGGAACATGTAAGTGTGGGTTTAGTATATCTGTCTTCACAAAGGTGTATATACATAGTATGTCACTTATTTTTTACTTCATAATAAACCAGCCCAAAACTTTGTGGCTTAAAAACATAGCCATTTATTGAAATCGTAGTTCTGTGAGTTGGTAAAGTAGTGATTTCATTGCTGGTTCCAGCAGCAACCACTCATGTGTCTGTGGTCAGCCGATGGTCAGTGATCTCACTTGTCTGGCCACTTGGGTGGCAGTTGGAATGATGAGGGTAACTGAGCCATGGGGCTCTCATCAACCAACGGCTAGCTAGGGCTTGTTCACAGAGCTGTAATGACTAGATTTCTAAGAGTAGAAACAACAGAAGGTCTTCTGACGGCTCAGAACACATATGTTACGACTTTTAGCTACTTTGTATTGGTCAAAATTAGTCACTAGTCCAGGCTAGATTGACAGACTGGGGAAATAGATTCCATTTCTTAGTGAGAGAAGGTGAACCACACTGAGGTCATTTTCACCATTTATTACATGTGGCTTTCCTCAGACCTTTTCTCTTAGAAAATGGGAAACTTAGGACCAGCAGTTGGCATAATGGCTATGTCGCAGGACTCCCATGTAGTGGACCACACTTTGGGTCCCAGACCCAGTGGCTTAAACTCACACCTGGCACATGTGCGTACATGCCCAAGATCCTGAGAGGAGAATGGAGGAGAAGGGATTGCAGAATGGTCATCCCTCTGGGTGATTTCTCACTTTCTGTCTCTCTGTCTCTTTCTGTCTTTCTGGCAGGTGCATGTGCCCTATAGCAAAAACCTTCCCAAAAAGAAAATAGGAAACTTACAAAAACCTCTGTTTACTGAATTAAAGGATAAACCCAGGAAAAACAAAAACAAAAGACAATAAAACAAAATCTCCCAAGAGACAAAACCCTACAATTTTTTTAGTCAATATTCACTAGCTCTAGGAGATTTCTATTTAAACCTGCTAGAGCAATTTATTTGGGAAAAAAGTACTGAAGAAATTTCCTTATGAAGATCTATCATTCTAGAAATCAGAGAATGTATGTGCATGCCTGTGGTATGTATTTATGAATGTTCTGACTGGTTGGAAAGACTTTTTCTTCTTTATTGCTTCTTAGTATTTTTTACTTTTCTTCCCAGTATAAATATCAATGTAAAAGAAATTTCTTTAAAAATGTTTTTAAAGATACCCCACTGCCTTATATGTACAGTTCTGGGAACTCTTCTCAATAATGCTCCTTTCTACTGTTTTAATTTTCTAGTTTATCGTTATGACAGTGGACCAGCTGATGCAGAAAGACAAGCTCTGAGATCAGAACTGGAGCAAGTCAAAAATTGTAAGTCTTCATGTGTACTCTTTTTTTTTTTTTCGGAGAGGTTTTTGCTATAGGGCACATGCACTCGCCAGACAGACAGAGAGAGATAGAGAGACAGAAAGTGAGAAATCACCCCCCAGGGCAGATGGCCATGCCATAACCCCTTCTCCTCCATTCTCCTCTCGGGATCTTGGGCATGCACGCACATGTGCCCGATGTGAGTTTAAGCCACCGGGTCCGGGACTCAAACCACGGTCGACTATATGGGATCCAGCGACATAGCCATTACACTAACTGTTGATCCCTCTCTTACTCTTTGGGTAGGGTGAAGTTTGGGAAAGGAGGACAACAAATATTACCTGAACATATATCATTTTCTATACCTGAAAAGGCAGTTCTCAGATTCTGATCTCATGAAACCCTTACATCTTTTTTTTTTTTTCTGTAGAAATGAAGGCAAAGCAAAATTAAATTACATTCTCAAATTGTGTAGAGCTAATGTGGCAATGGCAGTTTACAAAGACCCTGATCCTGAACTCTGATATGTGTTCACCGTAAAGGAGACTCATGCCTCTTTGTTATGCTGGTGTCGAGACCTGGCAAAGGGGCCTAATCTGTTCCTTCTGGTCTGGGGCAAATCCACTCAGAAACTTTTGTTTAGTCTCAAGTTCCTAGTGAGAGTAATAATGCAAAATTCCAAATGATATATGTTCTAGAATTCTGACTTGCAAGGACAAAGGTCTTTGTGTTAGTGCATGTCTTTAGGTTAGGGTCACCAGATTTAACAAATTAAAACACAGGTTATTCAGTTAAATTTGAATTTCAAATAAAAAATAAGATTTTGTTTGTTTTTTAACAAGGTCTCAAAAACTTCAGGGAGATAATCACACTTTAAACAGTATCATTTTTTGAGACCAGCAGTTGGTGTAATGGCTGTGTTGCTGGACCATGTAGTCAACCATGGTTTGAGTCTGGGACCCAGTGGCTTAAACTCACACCGGGCGCATGTGTATGCGTGCCCAAGATACTGAGAGAAGGGAGGAGAAGGAATCGTGGCATGGCCATCCCCGTGGGGGATGATTTCTCTCTGTCTGTCTTTGTTTGTCTTTCTGGCAAGCACACACACACCTTTTTTCAAAAAAAAAAAAAAAAAGATCTATGTAATATTCACATTTAACTTAACATACTACATTGTACATTGTTTCTGGCAACTCTGTTCTGAGAGCCCTTATAGGAATACCTCAGACTGGGCTTAACATCAAGCAACTGTCATCCCTTTTTCACATTTTAGGGCTACTCTTCTCATTGGGGAAAAAAGTTGGAAAGAAGCTCTACTTGATCAAAAACAAAGAAATGACCTTTAACAGCGTGAAGAATCTGTGTGCCCAGTTCCAGGGCTCTGTGGCCACCCCCAGGAATGCTGAGGAGAACGAGGCCATTCAGAGTTTGGTCTCGGCAGACATCTTCCTGGGCTTCACAGATGAGGTGACTGAAGGCAACTTTGTGGATCTAGTAGGAAGGAGCATGACCTACAAAAACTGGGCCGAGGGTGAACCCAACAATGCTAACTCCGGGGAAAATTGTGTGGTGCTCCTGAAAGATGGCAAATGGAATGATGTTCCGTGCTCCTTCTCCTATCAGGCAGTCTGTGAGTTCCCTGCCTGAGGGAACATGCCCCTCTAGCCTGGGTTCTCTCTTTCCTGTACCCCACAACCATTTAAAAGATAAATTGTTATCAATTTCTCCATACCCAGTATTGAGTCCCTCCTCTGTAGGGAACTGGAGAAAAGACAGAGGATGGATTGAGTGAGGAGACATGAAATGAGAAGAAACTGACCACCCTGGATTGAGTTTCTGAATCAGTCCCGGTCACATACAATGATCACTTGCAATGACAAAATGATTAGCAGTCCCGGTCACATACAATGATCACTTGCAACAACAAAATGATGACTGGCAGTGGTGGCAGTAGTACTGTTACCAATTTTATATGCACACATTCATTCACATGTATTCATATGTATATACTGAAGTTTATTCATTCATTTCTTCCATGGAGAGAGGGGGATTAAGAAAGATGAGCACTCCCAGCAGGGTCTTCATGACATGCTCTAGCACAATCCACCCCAAGTCTTGGCCACCCCAGATCATGAACATATGCCTTATGTATTCAAGGGAGTCCTTGGTCATAAACCCAGGACCTATCCCATGTGGGTCTAGTTGTGTCATGGCAGTATCTAACCCCTATATATTTAAGGTTGACTACAAGCGAGACCCTACATTTTGTGTTTATAATAATGATCTAATTTAGTTAAGCTATAATGTTTTTGTCTGAATAAAGTAAACTTGCTAAGCTATAAAGATAAAACTTTTTTTTTTTCCATTGGCTACGAATACCTATGGTATGTTGAGACTTCCTCTTTGGATAGAGGGTTCCCCTGATGACACTGTTCCAGACCAATTCCATAGCTTTCCAGTCAGTCTCAGAATTTAAGACACAATTTCATAACTTTTTCCCTGGGTGGTATTTTCTTTTATTGACAGATCAATCTATGTAAAGAACATAAATCTCAAATTAATAATAAATTCTTACACACATACACGCCATTTAAACAACTTCTATATCAAGATACGGGGCATTTCTGGCACTGTAAACGTCCCTTTATAAATTCTCCTCATTGATATTCCCAAAGGTAAACAAGAGTTTAACCTCCCTTATACATTGTCTGTTTATGAACTTCATGGGATGGAATCATACTGTATATATGTTTTATGTCATACTCTTTTTCACTCAAAAGTCTGTGAGATTCATATTGTAACATGTAGCCATTGCTTGATTTCCCTTACTGTGTAGGGTTTCATTAATACACCTCAGTTTATCCATCCTACGTTTAATAGATACTGGGGAGCTTCCAATTTTGGTCATTAAGAGAAAAACAAACAAACAAAAAACTCATGAAGATTCTGTACTTGTTTTTTTGGCAGACATGGTACACTAATTTCTCTTGGCTATCTACCAGGAGTAGATTGGGTGGGTCATAGGAAAAACATACATTTAGCTTTAGTTGGTATATGTTTTCCAAAATGATCACATAAATTAATAATATATCCCCACCAGCAAAGTGCATCAGTTCTAGGTGCTCTATATTCTTGTAATGAGTTATTTTTAGTTCTTTTAATTTTGGTCACACTCATTAGTGAAAAGCAATATCTCGCCATGGTTTTAATCTGGGTTTGCCTGACATGTACTAATGAACACTTTTTCATGGGCTTACTGACTACTTCAGTATCTTCTTTCATGAACTACCTATTAAAGTCTTTCATATTTTGTTTAAATTAGGCAGCCAGTACTTTCCTATTGATTTCTAAGTCGTTTTAACATTCTCGATGTAAGCCATTTTTGTTTATGTGTATTCATATTTTTCTAGTTTTTGTCTTGCTACCATTGTTGACTTTTGATGAATCAAATTGTTAATTTTCAGAACATTTGACTTATTCACTATTAATGCTTTTTTGCCTTTTGGTGTTTTGTTTAAAAATCTTTGTTTATTTCAAAATCATGAAGATAAATTTTTTTTTTCTTATAGCTTTATTGTTAAACTTTCTACTATCCCCAGTAGGATTTACTTGATAAGCACAATTTGTTAGGAAGATCATTTTCTCCCCATTGAATTAAAGTGGTGTATGTTTATAAACTAGGTGACTATACAAGGGGACCTCAAAAAGTTCATTAAAAATGAAATTAAAGTGTGAATTTTTTTACTTCAAAAAATTTTTGAAATTGATGCATAATTTCACCAGAATATGCATTTCCAATGAACTTTTTGAAAACTCCTTTCATATGTATGAGTCTGTATCTGAGTTTTCTATTAGATTCTACTAGCCTATTTGTTTATACTTGTGCCAAATAATATCTTAATTACTGTGCATTTAGAGTAGGAACTGATACACAATATGGTAAGCCTTTAAACTTTGTTCTTTAAGATTTAATTTTAGAATGAATTTCTCAGTTTCTACAAAGTGCTGATGAGTTTTCTGTTAGGACGACATTGATCCTATCAATTAACATAGGCAGAATCCATAGTATACTAATGAGTCTCTAATCAATGATTATAATGTATGTTTAATAATTATCTTTTCATTTTAACTAGAATTTCTTTCTCTTCATGCTTTGAAATTGTTAGTGTAGTAGTCTTACATACTTTCTTTGGGTGGTGGTAGTTGTTTTTCAAGTTATGCATTTTTTTTTTTTTTTTTGCTATAAGGCATATGCACTCACCAAAGAGAGACAAAGAGAGAAAGAAAGAGAGAGAGATAAAAAAAAGTGAGAAGTCATTCCCCTAGAGGAGATACCTTCATCTCAATCTCTTCTCCACTCTCTTATCAGGATTTTCGCATGCATGCACATGAAACCCCTTGTGATTCTTAAACCACTGAATCCAGGACTTGAAGCTGGCCATGTGGAATCCAGTGCCTTAACCTCCATGTCATCTGCTGGCCCATGAAGTTCTTAACAATATTTTTAACAATTTTTATTTTCTGTTTTGTATGTAGAAAAACAACTAATTTTAATATTCCATTAAGTAACCTCAACAAATGTATTGCTTAATTCTAATAGTTTGTAGATTTTTGTGTATTTTCTAAATATATAGTAATCTGAAAATACAGCAGTTACATTTTCTTCCCAATTGTTATACTTTTCTTTTCTTACCTTATTCCACTGATTAGCAACTCTAATATCATACTGAATAGAAGTGGTGGTAGTGAATATCTTTTCCTGGTTTGTTACATAGACTTTGTTTTATTTCAGACTTATTGTTAGGGACCACCAGAGCATGCCTAGATAACTTAAAGACAATATAATGAAGTGTTTTAGAACATGAGTTCTCATTTGATTTTTTAAAAATTTTCCAGAGGGCATATGTGCTCACTGGAGAGAGAGAAACAGAGGGAAAAGGAAAGTGTGAAAATAACACCCATGAGGCCTAGTCATGGTGAAATCCCTTCTCTTTTCTCCTTCCTTTTGAGATTTTGGACATGAATGCACTTGTGCCTGGTGTTTTTCTCAAGCCACCTCCAGTGAGATCTATTCCAGAGGGCTCAGTTTTTTTTTTTTTTTTTTTTTTTTTTTTTAATTAACTATCTATTCATTCATTCATTCACTTTTTTTCATTTAACTAGAGAGATACACACACACACACAGAGAAGGTGAGAGAGGAAGCCACCAGGTCCAGGACTAGAACCATGGTCAGCCATGTGGGAGCACCCAGCGCCTTAACCACCACACCACCTGCTGGTCCTGTGGATTCAGTTTTAAAATGTAATGGCGGAAACAGCAGTTAGCATAATGGCTATGTCACTGGACTCCCACGTAGTCAACAGCGGTTTGCGTCCCGGACCCGGTGGCTTAAAGCTCACGCCGGGTACTTGTGTGCGTGCCCAAGATCCCAAGAGGAGAATGGAAGAGAAGGGATTGTGGTGTGACCATCCCCCCTGGGGGGTGATTTCTCACTTTCTGTCTCTATGTCTCTCTCTGTCTGGCGAGTGCACACGCCCTATAGTGAAAAACCTCTCCAACAAAAAAAAAAAAAAAAAGTAATGGCTATGTGAAATTTGAGCTAGTTACTTACTTTCCTGAGCCTCACCCATTCATCTGCGGCTGAGAGAAATGAATGAATCTTGTTTCCTGAGAATTACATCCCATGGCGTTTGATTTGTAGTTTTTGTCACCAATTCAAAATTTTTGTTAATCAATTCAAAATATTTTATAATTTCCATTGTGATTTCTTCTTTGCCTCGTAGTCTAATTGTTATTTAATTCCCAAATATTTGAGGATTTAAGAAAATTGTCTTCCTGTAAATTACGGATGGATAGCTTCATTCTACTGTGGCCAGAAATAAACTTTCATGTAAGTTCAATCTTTGAAATAAATTAACACCTGATTTTATGAGCCACATTATGGCTTAGAATGGTAAATTTATTAAGTGCATTAGAAATAGTAATAAGGGGGCTAGCAGACCCTGTGGTGGTTAAGGCAATGGATTCTACATGGCTGACTGATATTCAATTCCTGGACCCAGTGGCTTGAAAATCATGCAGGGCACATGTGTACATGAGCCCCAAATCCTGAGAAGAGAATGAAGAAGAATGGACTGTCACATGGCCATCTCCACTTGGGGTGGGGGGCGTGATTTCTCACTTTCTCTCTCTCTTTCTCTCTCTGGTGAGTGCATATGCCCTGTGTGTGAGTTGGGGTGGGGGACTAAGAAATAAAAAAAGAAATAGTAATAAGTTTTTTGTAGCTACTATGTATCATTAGGTCAGGATATTGATCTTATTTTTCATATTTCCTATATTCTCACTAATATCTTGCATTTTTAGAAGAAAATAACAAAGATCCAAGCAGAAATAAATGATGTAGCTAGAAGAAAAATAGAAAAGATCAATGAAGCTTAGTTTTTGCTTTGTTTTTAAAAGGTAAACAAAATTTGGGGCCAGGAGATGGCAGAGAGGTTACATGGCTGGACTCCCACATGGTCGACAGCCATTTGAAACACACCAGGTGCCAGTGCATCCAAGATCCCCTGGCCATGATCAGGTGCTCACGGTTTAATCCATGTTTGTCAAAGGAATAAATGAACGCGGATTTGAATGAATGAAGGCGAAAGAAAGCCATTATTTGTATCCAAGAAAGGTCTGACATAGTACTCTGATAACTAAGCAGATGGTTTTCTTAAGAATTTAAAAC